AAAAAAATATTGTCCATTATGAATTTCAATAACCTGAGATTGTTTACTTTTGTATTTTCAGCTGTAACGACAACACCCTCTCAACAGAATCCTCAAGATAAAGAAATCTTATGTGATGAGAACCTCAATAAAGAAGATAGAAAAAGATCAATTGTTTTAGTTTTCAATGTAGAAATTGATGTCACAGATGTCCTTATTTAGTCAGGGAGTCCAGAAAACAAGTTTCGATTCTTTCAAATTCAAAGTTACTTTTTGTATAATCATGCATTACTTGTGTCTGGATTAACTGACTAAGTAAGAAAAAGAGAATTTTTCAAGAAAACTTCATTTGCAAGAAGCAAAAATTCTGTTTCCAAGGAAGAAGGATAGAATTAATGGATTAGGTTTGGTGCACTCATAGACAATAGCTTGATATTAATATCTGGGGTACAAAAAATATGCTTGTCTTCACATGATATTCATATGAAACCTGGGTTCTTTTTTTCACATGAATTTCGTGCGATTTTCTTTTCGCATGATATTCGTGTAAATTTCATGTGAAAATTGCATGATATTTTCGTGCGAATATCATGCGTGGTCCTTTTCGTCTCCTTCTCATGCGAAGAATTCGCATGATATTCGTGCGAATTTTATATGAAGTTCATGCGAGCCACTTTTCCCTGTGTATATTAAAGAAGAGACTCATTTTCAATGGAAAAATCATAATTTCTCCCTTAACTTTTCCCTAAGAAAAATGCGATGCTTAAGTCACTAATCGACCCTACATCTACCGAACTTATTACAGACTGGATAAAGTAAAAAAGGAAACGAAATTGTGCTATTAAACAATCATTCCCCCATTATTCCCAAAAGACCCATTTCCCTTTTATAACATTTACGAGAACCTTTGGGAACAAGAAAACCCCTAAAAATCTTTAAAACGTCTATATCCCAAGTTCCTGAAGTGACGTCATCACCGAAAAGTTATCCAAACAGATTCAGATAATAATTTATCATACCTAAAATTTGCAAGAATATTGACCAAGCCGTGCACATTTATTTTTTCAAAGTGCGTTAATATGGTCGATATTAACGCACTTTGAAAAGAAATATATTTTTTTTTAAGTGCGTTAACTTGGTCCCAAATTTAACGTACTTTGAAAAAATTTTCAAAGTGCGTAATTTTTCAAAGTGCGTTGTAACACTGCATAAACTTTTTGGTCTCTGACAAGTGGAAATATAAGTTAAAAGTGTGCAACAGCAACAGCAACTCAAATGATGTAATTTAAGGACGGTGTTTCACAGAATGAAGAAAAAATATTTGGAATATCGCATGAATGTTGCTTTCATCACATTCATTCCCCTCCCCATGGTTCTATGATTTTTATTTTAGAATAAATAAAAGGGACCGAGTATTTTCCGCATAAAAGCTTGGACTACATAGGAAAATTTCATTTCCTGCAGGATTGACATTTAGTAGTTTATAATCATTCGACTGGAAGCATATAAATAATCTTTCACAGATATCATTAATACAAGTCAAGTAGGCCAATAAACGTTTTCTTACAAACGAGAAGTAGAGTGTCATCAAAATCACACTTCAATTTGTAAATAAATTTAATTTGGAGTGATCTAAAAGCTTTTTATCGACACAAGCTTGGTGTCAAATTGGTTTTTAAATGAAGGGGAAAAGCCTCATCATTTCTCATTTAAAAAGGCTGAAATATAATATAATGAGCCTAGGTTTGAATGTTAAAACTCAAAGTACGACACACTCAAAATGATGTTAAATACCGGGTATATCAATTTTGAAGCCGTTCAAGACACAGAATTCAATTACAGCTAACAAAAGCGCTAACAAATGGAAAAATTTCGTTTCTTATCAGTGCTTATTCGGTGAATATGTTAAATGTCCGGAGAGTTCCAGTGTGTTTTATCTGGCAGTAAGTTTTGCGCATGTACAAAACTTGGAACGGACATCGCCGGACTATGGTGTCCGCTACATGTACGTGTATTTTAGGGATGTCAACGAATATTCGAATATTCATTCGATGAGTTGATATTCGAGTATAAATTTAAAAATTCGAATATTCGGTGTTTTACAGATTTCGTAAAAAGAAATAGTGTTTAATAAATTTTGATTAAATGAAAACCTTCTTAGAATGTCTAAAAGACGTGAAGAGTATACTGATCAAAATAAATTTAATTGATCGTTGAATGAGTGTCTGATAGAATTAGTCTGTAACTGATATTGTAAAGGGCTCAATTTCTGAATAAATGTGTAAATTACTTGATTATCTCGGGTTGTACATACGAGGGGTTATCAAAAAGTTCGTGGACTAGCGCCATAAGATTAAAACCGCTTTAGGTACATCAATGAATTTTAAAACAGTTAGTTAGCATCATCTTTTCTATCTATAGAATAAACCATAAATCATAAGTTTTATTTTTTAAATATTTTTTTTAATGTTTTTGTAAGCAATGGTATGTCCAGGCGGCGCAACCTCAAATATGACGTTTTTTCTACCTGAGTGTAACTGAGAAAAACTCTTTTGATATGAGCATTTGTCATCAAAAAATCCCGTTATTTCAGGCATGTGGTACGACACAATTGTTCTGTAAAATTTGCAATTTTTACCCCATTCTGTACGTTCTATGAAATTTTATCGTAAATTTTATATGGAGTGTCCAAAAAATTAGGGCTTGAAAATGACGTCAAAAAGGGGGAGGGGTTTCTTTTTCCAGCATTCTATAAAGTTTCGAACCCGGAAAAACTGGTATAGACCTACGGAATGTTAAAATGGGCAAAAGAGAAATAAAATGCATCCAGAGTATTTGTTTTTAAATGCCCAAAAGATTCAGAGAGATGAAAAATGCACAGTTAATGTCGATTTGTAGTCAGGGTGTCAAAAGTCAGTCACGTCGAAAAGTGAAGTTGATCATGTGTGGTAGAATTTGAACTCCAACAAGCTAAGTATTCTGGCATAATCAAGTGAGGATCTTTCCCTTTGTATAGATCCATTTACAATATTATATGTATTGAAAGCAGCTGTTCATGACATTATAAAGCCATATAAGCAAGATGGGCTTTAGTCCTTACTTAACTCCAGGTAATCTCATCAAGATAAGTGTATGAGGTAGAGAGAGCGGAAATGAGAAACAATGACGTTGTCGGACGTCATGAAACTAAACGGCGACAGCGCCGGGTGATCATATAATGTCTTTTTTATTTTAGAATAACTTGGAAAATTATCAACGAATCGAGCTAAAATTTTCAACATTTCTTAAACTTTTGTTGTTTTATGTTTCTTATAAATTTTGTAAGCAAAGACTACATAGTATTAATTTTATCGCATCAGTCCACGAACTTTTTGATAATCCCTCGTAATCCTGAATTTTATATTCATTATCGGTAAATTAATTAATTACCTAGGAAAATTGTCTATGGAAATATTTGTTTATATTTTAAAAATATTTTATCCAATATTTAATCATATCTCTTATTAGACTGATAATTGTAATTAATTACACGTATTGAAATCTAAACAGTATACGACTATCCTGTCTTTGGTAAGACGATTGGTTCCTCAGTTGGAGCTACTATTAATTTATTAAATTATTAAATTTGTTAAAATCATATTTTTCTACATTTAAATCAATTATTGATTTCACATATTGACAAATATCAAATGGAATTTCTTATTGTACATCTACAAAAGCCTTCACACAGTTTTACTCCAATATTAGAATACCTACGCTAAACCTTTCATGAGAGTAGGATCATGCATATTTAAAATAAACCAGATTTCATTTATTTTATCGAATATTCGAATATATTCGAATACTTTCATGGAATATTCGAATATGAATTATTGACAAAATTGACATCCCTAGTTTAAAGTAATATGTAAAAATACAAAGACATCAAACCTTGTACTTTTTGTGCAGTTACTGGAAATGGAAAGCACGAAGTAAAACATTAAGAAGACCTCTAGAAAAGGTTCTATCCAATTAAATCATAGGGGCTTGTGTAGAAAGAAAAAATAGATATCCAGCATTGGGTATCATCTACGTCATGCAGTTTGAGTTTGTGGAAGACTGTAATATCTGGGGATTGAAACCATCTGCACACTACTGTCTACATCAGACTATAATATGGGCATAATGCTAGTAGCATTATAAATTTCCTCTGATTCAAATAGAAGCTAGAGATTGAAGTCAACACTTGCAACATTTATTTTTTGCATTTTAAGGATACAAACATTAGACATACATTAAGTAAAGATCAAAATTATGAATTTTCTTCTACAATAATTATATATGGTGCACTGTATGGATACTAAAACACTAAACTTCTACCTTATGCAGCATTTTGAGATAAGATTTCCACTCATTCATAGCACTCTGTGGAGATGGCCAACATTGTCCTCTAATCTAAGAAGTATGGAAGTATTAAAGTTCCAGTCATTTTTGAGGTACATGTACATGTATGTGGAGATTAGCAGCATAGATTTTCCTTCCTCCGAAGTAGGTGGAAATTGATAGCACTCATATTCCTGAGTTACTGGAGATTAATATTATCATTTAAACCCTATGCAGTTTCTGGGGATCGGCAGGATTAAATTTTCTCTAATATAATATAATATAATAATAATGGCTTCAGACTTCCAGACCTGCAGTATGATTTCATATAAAGATTGGTGGTATCAGACTTCCCATGGTTAATGTTGTTACTGAACAGAAAAAATCATTCTCATAAAGTTCATGAAGTTGATGGAAATTTTTATTAACATCTGAGTTCCTCTATCTCATGCAGTATGTGGAGATTGGTAGCATCAGCCTCACTGTAGCTAATGCAATATGTGGATATTGGCAGCATCAGACTTCTTCTATCATGCAGCATGTGGAGATTGGTAGAATTAGACTTCCTCTAACTCATGCAGTAATGTGGAGATTGGTAGCATCAGACTTCTAGCTCATGCAGTATATGGAGGGAATGGAATCATCAGACTTCCTCTAACTCATGCAGTATGTGGAGATTGGCAGCATCAATATCCTCCTCAGGAACTTCACTTAGGGTGATATCATCATCTTCAAACATTACAGTGTCTGCGTCAACTTCATTAACCTGGTCATAATAAATAAGAAATACCAAATCTTCTGAGCATAAACAAATATCTATGAGACCAAGCATCTGAAAAGTAAATCTCTGAAAAGTCAAGTCACATCTGTATACTGAAAATGTGTAAGAAGATAGGTGAACAAGGCGTGCAGAATGCCGATGGCTTCATGTACTGTAGATTCCTTATTTCTCGCGAGTACTTATTATTGCGAAATGCCTCTTTAATGTCAAATTGCGAGAACAATAATCTGCAAGTGGACGGTTGATCAAGAGATCTTACATTGATTTCAGCACCATAAGAATAAAAGCGAGTAATAAAACAAAACTTTTCTGAGAAAAAATTTCTTAGAAAAAGTTATTCTTATACTTAAAAATATAAGGTGATATTTTTGGGAATCGAACCCTAGCAATAAAAATCCTGAGTATCAAACTGCTTTGATACTAACATGCTAACCACTACCCTACACATCTCCTGATGAAGATTGCCATTTAAGTCATATTTGTGATATGATCCTTAACTATATAGACCAAGTATTTCTTGGAAAGATGTGAATGTTTTGTCATAAAAGTGTATTTTTAAGGTATAGTGGGTCTTTGCTCCGTGTTTTTGTTAACCAAAAAATGTATATTTTGACTCAAACTTTTATGATTAACTTTCAAAAAATGGAGGAAAGACCCAATCATATCGAAAAATTGTGTTATAGTATGAGGTAATGATCCATTTTGCCCCATTAAGTATGTGTATGCTATTTCATAGGCAAATAATTTCAATCTTTGTGAATTTTTTGCAAACTGTGGAGATTTTACTTCAAGTATACATAAATATTAGATGAAATATCAAAAAAAAAATTTGATATATTTGAGATTTGATTTTTCATCGTCATATTTGTTGCACTATAGGCATTTTGCTTGCCTTGTTCACCCACCTTCTTTATGTGTGGGCATAATTTATGTTAACTATGTGATGAGAAAGCTTTCCGAAAATTTTCCCTCTGTAATAATGCCCTTAAACATTTTATCTCCACTTTTAGAATTACCTAAACCTTGTATCTTGGAAATAAGCCCAATACATATTGTGCTTATACTTAACACAAACATTCCTAATGATGTAAGGGTGTATCTTGACCTTAACTCAAGGTCATGTGGACAGTTTCAAGGTCACTGGCAGACAAGCTTTCTTATAGATAAATATTGGAGGTTCATACTTTACAACAAGGAGTATAGGTGAATAGATTATTTGATGACCTTTTAAATAAGGTTATTTATAGCAAACTTAAGGCCACAGCACGGAAGATATATATATTTCCTGTCTTGGTTATCTCAGGTAACCTTGTAATTGAAACATTGGAAGTTCATACATGGCACAATTAAAGATTATTTGTGACCAGAGAGCAGTTCACTTGCAGATCAAATGTAAAATTTTTTTTCAATTTATGCCAAGTTTGTTAAAAATACCTTTAAAACATTTTCATCATCCAGTACTTTTTCTGTCAACAATAACTCTGGCTGTGTGGTATCCACTTCTACAGCAATCTTTCCATTAGATAACACTAGAACGATGATTTTGGAAAAGGCATTTTCTACAGCTCGCTGGTATGCCAATTTCTTGCACTTACAAACTGCTTTTCCTCTACTTATAGGATCTACAAAGTATGCATGCAAAATATGATCCAAAATCCTACTGGCCCTGTATATATGATGTATCTTTATGTGGGATACAACATAAATGTAACATGTATACGAAAAGTAATTTCATAAAAATTGAATGCAAATGTTTTCATTACATTGGATTAAACCTGGGACATAAATTCCAGATGGTACAGAACTTGATTATATGTTTGTTGTAATTATTAGCTCTCTTTGGCACCAGCTGTCAGAGTAAATGAAAAATTATCTACATGACAGAGGAATTGTATTGTGTAGTGATTGGGCTATATGGACAATAGATATGGACTTGGATAGCTCAGTGGTGAGATCACCTGACATGTAATGAAGGGCCGTAGGTTCGATTCCCTGTTTGACCATAAATTTTGTCCTTTTCTTTTTCATATTTAACAAGTGCCAACTATAAAATGTCACTACATAATAAACAATACTAACTGTGATACTCTAATGCCTCTACATGCACATGAATTCCTTATCCAATACTACCCAGCCTACATGGACAAGTACCTCTGGTGCAATAAATCTCCTCCCATGCCCCTAGTCCCTCAGAATGGAATCCATCAGTCTTCAGGTTTAGTCTGACAACAGACACTTCTCTTACTTTGTATGTGTGATCCTCTGTTGGGCTGGTTTCACTATCTGTCTAGAAAAGCAAATAAATTACTGTAAATTGGGCGATTCCATCTCTTCTACGCAAATATATAAAATTGACCCTATATTTCTTATAATTGCCATATTTCACAAATTTCACCACTAAGAGCTTTTAAATACTAGTACCCATTTAGAGACCAATTGTAATTGAAAAACAAAGCTGTATTAACAAATTTGAGTAGGTTATTGGGGTATTTTATTGCCATTAATGGGAGGTAACTCTACAACATCCAAATTTAAAAGCTCAACCTCCTACACTGCTTTGACACAGCTGGTTGTTTAGAAACTTATTACTTGATCTAACAATTATGGTCAGGAATTAAAAAAATATGATCACTCATCTCACAAGAAAAGTACAAAACAGTAGCCATTCATTCCTAAAATGCTTCTCCATTACAAATAAATTTTTTCAATAAAACTAAAAATATGGCAGGAATTCCTGCCAAAAAATTATTTTCTTCAAATTTTTAAAATGATTTCTGTGCATTTTTCATAAAGTGAGCCCTGAAAAATTCATTAAGAAACATTTTTTTAATTTTCCTTTGAAGGGGGGGGGGGGGGACATTCTATTGCTGTAATTCTGACACCATGAGTTATAAATAGGAGCACACAAGTATAAGACAGTTGATTGAAACCTTCCATATGGTTTACTCTACATACATAGCATATATATGACATTACACTAACAGTTATTCTATAATAATATGTTAATACACTGTTAACTTACATATTTGTGTGACACTGACCAGCCATTGAAGCCCAGGAAATGATTGGCAACATCCTGACATTTACTGAAGTGAAGAGGCTTTTTCTCACAGACCTCCTTCTTCCTCTTTGCAAATGCTATCTATCCAAATTTTAAAATTATTTATTTTATACTACACTTCTTGTGACTATAAATACAGTCAAACCCTGTTATCTCAAACTCGAAGGGACCCAAAAAATACTTCGAAAAAACCGAGGATTCCAGATAGCGAGGGTAAAATACTTAAGGAATAAGCAGCTGGGACTTCAAAATGACTTCGACATATCCATGGTATTCAAGATATCTGTGTTCAAGATACCGAAGTTCAATTATATATATTCAAATACTGAAAAAGGGTTTTTTACTTCATTTTTTGACAACACATGATCATGGTATGTGTACATCTGATTATTATATTAAATATTCATGTAGTGACAAAATCTAAAAAGAGTGTTAAATTGCAGCTGTATACCCTCTGCCTCAATCTGATTAAAATCAGATCCTTTGATCCACTCACATACATCACTGCACAAGGATCTGAAGAAACTCCATTTAGGGTCATCTCCTGGTGACCTTTCTAATAAAAATATTCATTAAAATTTTGACAAATCAGAGAGATTGCACTTTAGCGACATTCGGGAAAATGAATGTAGAAGTGAAAGTAGCTGTGGAGAAGATCTTATCGTTTTGTACAAAACAAAGAGCTAAAAAAAAGGCCAAAAGCAAATACTAAATATATTTCTGTACAAGAAAGACTGTGGTCATTCTTTTGACAGGCTACATAAACCAGGTAACAATTTTTCGTTCGTGTATCATCGGGGCTTTCACTTCTGAGACTGAATTCCAAGATACTTCTAAATTTTTGCAAGCAAACGTTTGATTGGATAACTGAAAGGTCAACAGATGATCCTGAATGGGGTTTCTTTAGATCCTTGTGCAGCGATCTATGTGAGCGGATCAAAGGATCTGATTTTAATCAGATTGCCCTCTGCCTTTTTTTTTTTGCAAGACAAGACAATCAAGAGCATAGATTGTAATTGTATTCTTTGATCAAACTCTATTGCAAACAATAATACCAAAGCCTCATGGGGTCAGACAAAGCAGCAACATTTTTGGTAGTTCTCTCTTATAAATATTATTAGACACAATTTTCTTTGGATATTCATTTACCTTGCACTCAGTGTCATGGAGAATTATCTTCCCATTAACATCATCTTTTGCCTGCTTGGCTGACATGGCTAAGTAGAAATTCACAAATGCATAGTAACCAGGTTGTTTATTGATGTCTTGACCCTCATTTGAGGGAGGTGAATGTTGCTGGGGTCTGGCTGTGTAAGGAAAAATCTGCGTCCCAAACAGCAGGCCATACTTCGAAAACGTGGAGTATAAGAGTTCCTGGCATTAAAATAATTACAGTATAACAAATGAACATATGTAATTTAAATTACATACTGATAATCTTATTTTTTAAAGTCCCCTTTCTGTCTGTCCATCTATCTGACAGTCAGTCACATGTAGTTTATTCTTTTCTGATTGACTTTTTTTCTCTCTAGACACTCCAGTCCTGCATTAATGGAACTGACATTTGATGTTGCAAGTCTATCCTGATGAGTTATAGAGTTTCATAATACATGTACAGGGCTAGACAAATAGCATTGCCCGACGCCCGGGACAACCAATTTCGTTTGGCGGGCAAGTTATTTGATAACTGGTACCTGCCCGCGGACAAGTATTTTTCCAGGTAACAAAAAATCATATACTCAAATGTTCATTTGTTTTACCGCTGTTAAAATATAATGAATCACAGCAGAGTATCTGTTTTCAATGCAGTTGAACTCTAGAATTGCCCATTCATGTCCTGATAAAATATACATAAGAAGTAGAACACGGCAGGTATCAATGTCATGTCAAAAAAGTTGAAGAGGGTTTTGGACCTTTCTTTTGTCAAAATGTAAAATTCATGCCTTGAATACACGATACAAACACATGTTGCTGTTATTAAATTGGAGGTATTGACTGACAACACACACAGTCATGAAGTTGAACCAGGAGTGTTTTTCATGACACAATAATGTAGATACAGCTGTATTATTTTCATTTTAAAAATACAGGGAAATGTATACGTGGGACAAGCATATTTTTGGGTAGGACAAGTAATTTTACGATGGTAACTTGTCCGAGGGCAAGTACTGACAAATTCTATTTGTCTACCCCTGCATGTATTATATAGTATACATGGTAACTATATACTCAGGTCATTATATGTGATGATATGTTAAACCTCAGATAGATATTTTGGACAGTTGACTGCTTTACCTGTTTACAGCAAGTACTGAGCTGCAATTCTATTAATTATTCAAACTTCTTTTTTGCAATAAATTTAGAATTTGTTTTCAACTTTTGTTTGCCATTCTGAGTGGAATAATACTGAAATTATGATTTATCTTGGATTTTGAGATATTATCTGAATTCTCTAAGGATCGTTTGTTCGAGAAGTTCAGAATCTTCCGAGCTAGAGGAAAATATACTAACATAAGCATAACATAATAAATATATGTTCATAATGAATATTGTCAATATATCATCGTGATTATCTGATAAATGAATAAATGATAATTTGTTCAGATTTCATTATAAAACTATACCACTAATTCGTCCTCTGGCATGTTAGGGATACCACTGATGAAAAGACTTTTTCTATTCACATCTGGAGAGAAAAAATCGAGAACCTCAACAGAAATTTTTTGACATTGCCATTGGTTCAAATTCTTGTTCATGTTTACCGCTTTCGAAATTTTTGATCATCGATCCCGAAATCTCGTTAGAATATTTGTTGTTATTGCCTTTGCCACGATAATGTCAGGACACTAGGCCTACTTAGAAATAAATAAGCATTAACAATATCATATTATTCCATGTCCTCTGACAGAGATGGTTCAGAATGTGTTCTTGTTTTTTTTTTTTCTACCCACGGGCTCGGAAATCTAATAAACTGTCATGGCAGCCCCCTTGCAGAACACATTTGTTCGTGAAATAGAGACGAATACAGATGAAGTCCTTTGTATACACCAACTGGAAGTTGGTGATGTTGGTTGTGTTGTATGGGATGCGGCACTGGTTTTGTCAAAATACATCGAAACTCCCGATTTCAAAAACGGCGAACTGTTAAAAGGCAAGAAAATCCTAGAACTTGGAGCAGGAACGGGGTGTGTTGGAATCATTGCTGCTTATTTAGGGTAAACTAAACACCAACAACATTTTGTCATTAACAATTCAATACATATGTACATTGCTGTATTCAAAACATTACAATAAACTCTATGACCTAGGCCCGAAGAGAGAATTTTGTAAGAAGGAGGTAACATTTAATGATTTATTTCAATTTGGGGGTAAAACAAAGCAAATATATCTTGACAAGCAAACAACAAAACAGGAAAATATCATCAGACGTTGTTATCGAGGAGGGATAACCAAAGAGTTGCTTTGTTTATTATTATATAATAAGTATTGGTAAAAAATGGTAATAGGACGTTTCACTCCTTTTAATGATTCGCCCTGATTAAATGACCATTCATGCTGAGATGTTTCGCACCTCATACCGGTAATCATCAAAGAGAATATTATTTATAAATTTTAAGATGTTGATATTTGTTAACATATAAAGTTTATATTAACTTTATCCAAAAAAAAAAGAAAAAAGAAAAAAGTTATAAAATGAAAAAAAATTCAAAGATGAAACCGATTTTTTGCTTACAAATTATTTCAAGTTAATTAGTAAAAAAAAAAAATATCCACATGCAGATATGATTACAATTATGTTTATTTAGCAATCATAATTAAATTTTTTCTAAGGTGTTTCAATCATTCATTCATTTATTCTCTCAAAAACCATATGAATGGTACAAGACGAACATATATACATACATGTATTTACAATAATAATGGACAAGCAGAGATTACAGTAGAACAGACAGTGTCAACAATTTTGGTGATAAATATACACAATTTTCTTAAGAATGCTGGATCAGTATTTGTCACCAAATTACAGAATTTTATTATATTTGGATGTACATAGTATTTCTTCAACAGAAAATCTGTTCAAATATTACATAATACATTACATTCCAGTAAGTAATGAATGGTGTTAAAACTAATCTGGAGACTCTTCATGTCAAATTAAAGAGGATATTCAAAATTTTGAGACAGGTTCAATTACGTATAAATCAATTTGTATATAGAAATAATTTTGCTAAAGAGAAAACGTCAATTTAACTCAATTAATTGTTAAAATATATCAAATATATAGTCAAATGTGTTGTTTGGCATGGTATTACTTTATTCAACAAAGACAATTATATACAATTATAATAAAGCAGAAAGTCATATCTGGCACAAATAGTCTTAGATCGAAAGGTTTCAGTGCGATTGGTCTTTCGGGGCAAACCGTCCTACATTCAAAAAATGGGAGGATGGGGGTGCATGCACGCCCAAGTTCTTCTGGGTTTGCAACGTACACTAACAGCCTGTTAAACAGGGTTTCTGTGACAAAGCTAGTATCATGATGTGCATCTGGATGTGTACAAGGTACAATATCCTCATAATTTCAGTATCACTCTTTTATCATAAAAGAAAATCATATATACAACAATTATGTTCAGTTAAAAACTTTGTTGGAAATTGTCAGTAGTTTGTAGTAAAGTTTTTGAGAGTTATTTGACAATTTTTAGCAGGGGGACTTTTAATCCTTTGACACAGATTTATTTCCATTTATAGTTGTACAATTAAGCATGTGAAACTAAAGTTTTTTTCTTACCTTCCTTTGTTAATTTTTTCTCTTTTTCCTCACTAGAGCTGAGGTCACAATCACAGACTTACCAGACTTTGTGCCTTTGATTGAAATGAACATTGATAAAAACAAATCTGCAATAAAAGGTTCAGCCAGAGCACAACCTTTGACCTGGGGTCAGGACACCATTGCAGACTATTACCATTATATTTTGCTAGCAGACTGCATTTATTATGAAGAGGTAAATAAGCACAGTCTATTTTTCAATTTTTTGAATAATGTAAAGGACTCCTCACTAAAGGTTCTCTATATACACTGGTCAACATTTTACATGTTTAAAAGCAACAAAATTACAATCAAGGTTTGAATTTATCGCTGCCCTATTTCATTAATGTCTCTTAATTTTTGCAAGATTGTTGTTAAGTTTTTGTAAGCGTATATTACTTTCACAAATTTTGGTTATTGCTCTGTATAATCTTTAGTATAGTAGAACTATATGCAAAAACAAAATTTTTGCGAGCAGACAGTCTCATGGAATTATGCGAAAATAAAGTTCTCGTGAATAAAAAGTGATTTACTGTACACAGTAAAAATTATATATATATATATATATATATATATATATATATATATATATATATATATATATATATATATATATATATATATACAATTATATAATATGGAATATAAAGCCTAAGAAAACAAACAACACAAAGTTCTCTGCGATTAATAGAGCACAATTGAAAGTAGCAAAGCCAAGGGTATTTTATTCAAGAATTTCTTGAGGTTTACTTTCCAGGTTCTGATCTTCATGGACAGACTTTCACTGCAAGTCAACACCTAGAATTTTTTTGTGTGTTTTCAAAACCTGTAATGAATTGTAATGGAGATAATGTATCCAGTAATAGTCTTAATTTTGCTAGTACGAGACTTCCATCTGATAAATCTCAGATTTTTCAACAGAGTATTTTTGTTTCAGTCCATTGAACCCCTTGTGAAGGCCATCATAGACCACTGTAGAGAAGATACGGAGGTTTTCTGTTGTTATGAAGAAAGAACAACAGGAAACAAACCACAGCTGCAGAGGAAATTTTTTCAAGTTAGTACCTCTCCCTCTCCCTCTCTCTCTCTGTCTCTCTCTCTCTTACAAATAAATACTTTAGAAAGGAAAGGAGACTGCCAAAATATAAAAATTCTATTATATGATGAGATATTAATTAACATTCACAGATACATTTTATAACAGTTGCAAAATGGTTTTGACATTTCTGTATTTTCCCCCCACAGCTCATTTGTGAAAATTTTGACACGGAAGAAATTCCTTTGGAACGCCATGACAGTCTTTTTAGAAGTGAAGACATCCACATTTATAAGTTTGTGAGAAAAAAAAGTTAGCACCTGTGTAATATCTGTAAATATATATATTTTCCTCTGAATATTTTTGTTTATGTGACATAGTGATGTAACAATTATTGTTGTATTTATGGAATAAAGAATTAACAGCAAGAAAAATATACGAGATCTCTAAGGATTCAGTAAATTTGGTAATGTATTCATATTTCAAAGCATTAATACAGTTCAAAATATAAATCTTTCTTTGAAATATTGCACATATTAAATGTTTCAGTAGTGTACCTACACATAAAACCTCAGCTATGAGTGTTATTTCAGCATGATCAGATGGATCATTGTGTATTTCCAGTTCTTGAATTCGTTTGCCCTGTTTATATGTTATGGTTTTAAAGTTAGTCTTTTACTCTTTTCTTTTTCCTTGGACAGCAGCAGAGAAGGCTGTTTTTCTCCTTTATAATCCCAGTCGTATCATACAAATCTGTCATGATTCTGGGCAGTTTGTTATCTATTGGACGGATGACAGAGGAGCTTTTGTTCTTTTTCTGCTTCCTTGGCGATTTTATTATCGAAGACGTTTTTGATTTTATGTTGTCGATCACTGACGTTTTGACAACAACCTCTCCACTGGATGCTTTGTCTTTATGGAATATATTCTTCAGTTTAAATTTGGGTATTTCGCCTAAAAACTGATCAGGTGTTGGGCTACTTTTAGCCAAATGCTTCATCCACTTTGTCCAAATTTTGCTTTCGCTGCCGTTGCTACGGGTGATGGAGACCATGTAGTATCGATGATGTTCATTGTGCCCACGTACGTCTAGAACGTGCTCGTTTGGTACGGGTTCGGGAATAACGTGAACAATGGGGACCACCCACTCAAGCTCCAGGTCCACGGTGTCAGTATCAACGTCAGCAACGAGGACACTTGCACGCGATTTCCGGAGATCGCTGATGACGTCATTTGCCACAATAAAGAACTTTTCAGTGATCCCAGCAATAACGGTTCTGTCAAAAGAAATGCGAGAATAGCAATGATTAATTTAAATTTGGAAAAAAAATGTTTCCAGGCCTGAAAGGTTCATATTATCCATCTGTTAACTCATATATAATTTTGCTATATGACCATCATTAAAATAATGTTTCATTGCCCTTTCCCGACTCGGGATTAAAAAAATATTGGATATGTAGGCATGCAGGGGGATTTTTTTTTAAACATACGAATATGATGTAAAATAATTATTAATGGGATGAGAAAATTTCGGAATGATAAAAAGTTTCGAGTCTGGCCGTTTTAGTCAGTCGGTCGGGAGAGGGCAATCAAACAATTTTTTTTAAGATGGAGACTTACGCAAATGAATTTCCAAAAGAAATCGAAATTATGATTAAAATGCACACATCAATAGCATATCTTGCGGGGGGGGGGGGGGGATTTGACTGACTTGACAATTTCATAATTTATCCGAGTGAGTCAGAGTTTTCACTTTTCAGAGGTTCAATGAAGAGCTTTATGGAATTAAAAAGTATCTGGTCGTATATCGTGAATTTTTTTATAAAAACTGACATAAATTACTTATATTGGGAATTACACCCAAACTCTTCATTAATTTCATTCAAAAGCACAGAAATTGTCAGACGTCCTATGGTTAATTATTTCCTCATTGAAACTTTAAATAGTGCCGTATTACTGCAGCATTACCCCTCATTGGTTATAGTTCATGAGGATATATAATAATAATAAAGACCCCCCCCCAAAAAAAATTGCTTGATGAGTTGAAACCCCCACTCGCATCATTCTTTCATAATTTTTTTAATATATACCCCCTCCCTCAGTTACTCTTCCGGAAAAGTGATAAATGCTCACTCCAAAATAATTTCAAAAACTGGACAATAGAAATTAAGCAACAATCAATATATATATAAAATGTGTTGTAGAAATGTTTTAGCATTTTCCCTATTTCTCCAATTAAAGATTTAAGAAAATGAATTACAATATGGAGCAAAGAGCGTGTTGCATTTCTTTTGTTATTTTTCCCTAAAGTTGTCTCAGATAATAAGAATAATTTTAAGTATATAACAGAACATGTCATGCAGATTTTCTGATTTTTTAAATAGGGAATCCCCATTGTTCTGAAAAATTGCCTCCTTGAACAAGAATTAATTTGATATAAGCATAAAAAGGCAGGGATTTTCTTCAAAACTGCCATTTCCGATTTTTGTTTCAATGAGCATGCATATTTTAAAAAAAAAAGCAAAAAACAAAGAAAACAAACATACAAAAACCATTAAAAAAAATTAAAAAAGTATTATCCATCCGAAATGCAAAAATTGCACATAAAATAACACATTCTATCATAGTGTCGGCATTGATCTAGTGGTTAAACAGGTGGACAGCACCAATATTCTTTTACATGAGAATGGATTCGAATCCTAAAATTGCTGGTTTATGCATTTTTTTTTCAAAATTAAAAATCCCTTTTCATAAGTAATATTTTAAATGCATTTGCATATGCAGGTTTAAATTGTTTTTTTTTTAATACTTTAATCTAAAACTAATAGGACATAATGCTGTTTTTTTTTTAGTTGAGTGGCGATGTCATGGAAAATAAAGTTTCGTTTTCAAAATTTACTTTTTACATACTTCAGTTTGTTTTGTTAAGAAGTTGTCCCGATTTGACTTGAAACAGCTAAATTGAAATGATTCAATGGAATGTCTTGGATGTAGCATCAACAGCGTAATTATGGGGCACAGTTTTATTTATAAATTTAAATTTACTTTTACGTAAAAGAAAGTTCATTCAGTGTTATACATGTTCTAAGGAGGCGTATCAGTGCTATTTTGACACCGTAATGTACTTTTAAGACTTGTATATTCCTTTGTAATAAGAATAGGTTAAAATAACGCAATATAAACATACAACAATAAAAATATAATGTTGTCATTATTCGAATATAAACATATTAACATGTACAACAATAAAAATAAGAAGTTGTCATGATCGAGTTTGAATGCTTTCACGACCAGTCCTCGGATAAAACTTACTTGATAGGTTCTCCCTTGTGTGTCATCTCTATAAATTGCGATTCTAAAATGATATTTTCATCATTAAATTCGGAATATTCCTCTGATTTAAGCAGTTTTTGAAGTCGACCGATGGTTGACATTGCAGTGTGTTACTGCAATGCCTTGTACGATTGTGACGTCATAGATGTCATATTACAATTGTGACGTCATGACTATTGCAACATTCCTCTAAAACTATTTTTTTTAAAAAAAATGATGCTAATATTCTTGTTATGTTTAAAAAGATATGGAATATAGTCTACCTTAATTTGTTATCTCACACACTGACACAGACAGACAGTTTAGCTCGAGTGGGATACAAAGAGTTTGCGGTTTACAGGCTTAGGTAGCTAAACACAGTTTCGTATAAAATCCAGGGGTTTTCTCAGAGAAAAGCATGATGGGTAGGGATTTCCCTGCTATTTTTATGCAGTGTACATGAAAATTGCAGCTTTTTTATTTTTATTTGCATAAAGTAGAGTCTTATCTTAAGATTAAATGAAAAAAGTATACAAATATTTTTTGAGAATTAATTTATGTGTGAGTTTTTAATAGTGGGAGATAACTCTAAAAACACCAATTTTTCACATGTGAAGAATTGCATGATTTGAGTAGCAGGTAAAGTAGCTCTTTAAAAAGCTGGAAAATGTACCCTAAAAGTACAACAATAAGAAACTTAAGGATTTGTCCTGTGAAATGCATAGCACTTATATTTTCTGATTATTGCACTGTTTGTGATCAAGGGAGCTAATAATGCATAGGTGTACTACAATTAGACGCATAAACTTCCCCATTTCCCCCATGTTTCATGTGTCAAATACTTCTTATTAGTAAGTGATAAATACAATATATTTCTATATTGATAAAATTCACCATTTTATCTTTTTATTGATTTATAGATGTCTATGTAACAAGTCTTCATATTATTTCTTTATGGGTGTCACTTTTGCATGTCCCTCATTTAATTACGTCGTGATAACGTCATACATAAAACTGTGTTTTGCACCCTTAGGGGGCTTGGGATCGACAGTCGCAATTTCTGCCTTTCATGGTCCTCAGTGAAATAATTTTTGGTCTAAAAATTATAAGACTTTTAATATATAAAAACGATTCTTTTATGGATTGAAAGATACAATTCATTGGGCTTCATGCATATGTTTTAATAACGAGTGTAAAAGAAAATTTAATGCTTGCCAATAATTTTTGAAGTTAAAAACTGACTGATGAATAAAAAGAGATAGCATTAGATTTATCCAAGATATTCAAATAATATTAATGCATGTATTCAGTGAAAGAACTATAAATCTCTCTGGTTGAGAAAATTCAGAAGCAATGTATTTAAAAAAAAAAAAAAACTTTTACGGCGCCGCTTTTTTGTCGCTCGACTCCGGTATTATTTCTTGAATTATATGCGTACCCCGCCAAAAGCATGTGTCCATTAACTAACAATATATTGTAATCCCAATCTTGTTTCTTTATTACCTTTTAAAAGTCCCAAACAGCCCTGTATGCCAGCTGGAATGTCAGTTTAAAAAATCCGCATTCCGACGTCCATGCTGATATTCCAAGGCTAGAAAGGGCTGTTTGAAATCGAAGTTTTTACAATGCTTTCTGGTTTATCTGTCCGAGTTTTCTCAACCAGAAAGCTTCACTAACGTGGTTTTTAATACTATATACGCAGCTTAAATTTTTCAGTTAAAACGTTACCGTACCCGTAAACTTTGCGGAAACAACCCGCAGTCGAAATACCGTATAACGGATATTTTCTGCGGTTGTCTAATTTTTGCGGAATTTTGCGGATAGCCCAAATCCGCAAAAATTACATTCGCAAAATATTTTTCAATATTTCTTCAGATATATATTTTATACATGCAAGTATGATAAATGGTGCGTATGTCCTCGTTAGCGAGAAAATTCGGGTGTCATCGAAATTCGAAGAATATCAGGATTTTTCCAAAACATATTGAATTAAAACGTTGCTGTAAATAATATCAATTTAATAAGTTTATACAAAAACATCTTTTCTTGTACCTACTTCTTTATTTTATACGGATATACATGTACATGTAAATGACTAAAAGAGATTTCGCAATTAATAGCCCAAACTCCCACAGCTGCAAACAACACATAGTAGCTTTTCTTTCTTTCTTTAACACTTTTTTCAATCTTGTGTTTTATCTGGAGACCATAATTACTGCTTGTATACACAAAGTGGCTTGATTGTCTCGTGAATTTCACAAAATGCAGACGACTGACAGGATTAGTTACGCCTCAATGCACATGGCACCTGTGATTGTACACGGTCAACTTAAGGTTACTTGATTATGCAACTGTTTGTTTGAGCTTAAAATATAAACACCAGGGGCTCGTTTCTCAAAAAGGCCTAAGACCAGGCGTAAGCTTAGTCCGGACTAAGTCAGTGACTAAACCCCAAAATCGGACTAAGTAGCGTTTCACAAAAAGGCGCAGACTTAGTCGAGACCAAAGTTAAGCTTAAATCTAGGCCTGCTCATGAGTAGGCGTAAGTTCTTAGTCTGTACACAACTTGAAAAAAGTGGCAAGTGTTTTGATCATAAAGAGATAAAAGAATAATTATTTTGTACGTAAACGATATAATACCGATTCATGTACATACGTGATATGCAAAAAATCGTGAGATATACAATTATTATGTAGCTAAATAGAAAGGTAATTAAAATCCAGCGAGGATGCATAATTTTTTTCCGTAAAAAGGTTTGAAGAGCTAGACATTTGTAAGTAAGAAATTTGAATTGTGAAACTGGGTAAGCTTAAGATATTAAGAAGTGCCCGAGTTTAAAAAAAAAAAAGCAGACACGCGTAGTATGGGGAGGGGGCTGCACCCCCCCCCCCGCTTTCTTCAGTAATGGTGTTTTCTGCTAAAAATTAAGTTGTAATTTAGGCTTAACTTCACTTTCAGCATTTGTTTTCTTGTACTGTCAAAGTTTGCTGAATATTTTTTTTCGATACTCAATTACATACCCCCCCTTTCCCATCTCCCCCCAGACACTGGGTCCCTGTTTTGTTTTTTGTTTTTTAAATGGATAATGTTTTTGAAAAAAAAAATCCACAAACAATATACATTTGATATGTTTACGATAATAAGAAATATTCGGTAATTATGCAAAGTTAATGAACCTTTTACCTTAATTTCCCCTTTAATTCAATATAAAATTTATAGAACAGAAAAATAGGAATTTGTAAAATGTTCCAGTAATTAATCATCTTGTCCGTAATACTGTTTTTTTTTTCCTATGTCAAGGGAGTAACTGCCATGGCGTATAAGATGTGCAGATTGGTCTATCATGTTTTTTAAAAATAGGTACTTGTTTTTAATTAATATACAATCTATCGTACGTTTCTCAGACGAATTTTGTTTGAGAGTGTCTTTTGATGGATTTATGAACAGATAAACACTTTATATTACACGCATTTGAAAAGAAAGTGGTCAATAACGTGTTAAAAATGTTTTTATGAGTAAATGAGAAACAGTTTCAAATTTGCTGTCATTTAATGCATTATACTCATAAAACATATCAAGACGAAGAAATTTTGCTTATTTAAAAATATTTATGAATATGAAAATCATGCTTGTTAATATCTTTAAATCTAGATGAAATCTCCAAGAAACATTCTGCATCCATAAAAGAAATATTACATGATCATGATCATATATTCTTAATAAGAACTAAACGGAATTGCTAGATTTAAGACAAAGATGGTGATGTTGAAAGTTGTACTTTGTCCGATCTAAATAAATCTGATCCCGACTGAAAATATATTAAATGGAAATATTTCAGAAATTTATAAAAATACAAGATTGCTTGCCTGTCATATGGTTTACAAGAAATTGATTTAAAACTAATTAAGCTTTTGCAAACCTTTAATAAGAATGCGTGTGCTAATGGAAATTGATGCTGTATATGCGTATTTCTGCATGGACTGTTTAAATTATCATATCGATATCAATGTAATACTGTATGTCCAAAGTGTAATATTATAATACATGTATCACTTTGAATGCCAATAAGACTAATTCAGATAGAATTGATTATTCTCTTATGAAATTATAAATTCAATACAACTGATATTTATTCAAAACTCTTATCAATATTTTAATAAAAGTAGTGTATGAATTCATAATTCTTAAATTTTCAACAGGCCCGTAGAATGCGGTGGCCCCCGGCCCTCCACTTTTTCTGAGTATAGTATTTTGCTATTGTAAATTTTTCTTCAGATTTTAACACCCCCCCCCCCCCCCCCCCCCGCTGTAAGGTCGAGGACTGGCAAATTCCATGACTTCAGTCATGAACAGTTATAATAATTAAATTTTTCACTTGGACAGTTAATGAAGTTTTTTTTGTCACATTAATTTGGGATATTGCCCCCTCCCCTACTTTTTGGTTGTTTAGTTTAGTTTAGTTTTTTTTTTTTGTTTTTGTTTTTTCTGGCTTGTCAGATTTTTTTGGAGAAGTTGCCCCTCCACCTTTTAAACTGTTGCTACAAGCCTGTTCCAGCCCTTTGCCATTACCTTATGTGTATTTGATTTAATGCACTTAACATAAGTGAAAGACAATATAGCCTATAATCAAAGGAAAATTACTTAAAATTCCCCATGCTTAATTCGAATTTTTCGTAAGTACATATACTATGTACATCGTTTGGGTTTAATGTACGATTGTATATCAAAATAACACAATCGTGTACACGTTTATGTTTTTCTAATGTAATTTGTACCTATATCGATTTTTTTTATTTGAGCTTACAAAAAAAAGTTATTTAATTTTAATGCTTTGACCTTGAAAATACAGGTGGGATTGCGTAATATATCTGTTTGAAAGATGGTGAAGAGAGAAAACATACACGCGCGCTCATGCTTTCCGTGCTTTACTTCTGTATTTAGGTTTAAGTTTGATATTAATTTGATCCGCCACATGTAATTGTAGTCTCTAAACCAAATAAAATACAATCTGCGCATGCTTAGTACTTAGCGGAGAGGTCTTAGTCTTAGGCCCAGTCTTACGCTGCTTTCTGAAACGCGGTTTAGGCCCGTCTAAATTTTGGCGTAACTTACTTAGTCGGACTAACTTAGGCCCAAATCTACGACTTTTTGAGAAACGAGCCCCAGATTAATTTGGATGGCAATTAAGTATAAGCGTATTTTTTAGAATATGGCTTGGATGCATTAATTATCAATATATTAAAATATTTTAATAGATCGCATAAAACGTTTGTTACATTGTAGAATAAAGATTTTTTATTGTTGTTTGGGTGGACCGATACTGCAATAATTCATTTCAATTGGGACTCGACATAATTTTACAAAGACTAACTGAAAGATAGTAGTTTAATTAAGCTTAATAGCTTAATACCAGTTCTCATGCAACTTTGATCAATATGTCTCAATGAATTTATAAAACGTAAACATGGCAGCTATCTGATAATTCTTAGAGATTGGTGATCATACCCAGTAAATAATTTTTTGCGGTATAATGCAACCGCAGAAACTTGAAAACGCAGAAATTAATTTGCTATCTTTTAGGGGTTAAATCGCAAAAATTTCCAACCGCAGAAAATACCCGTTATACGGTATTTATACATGTTTAATATGAATATTATTTCATTTTGAAGGAGGAAAGGCCACAATCGAATATATTCTTTAATAAACAAAAGGGCATGTTATTGAAGCGACACTACATGTACATTTACGAGCTATATTTTTCACTGAATAGTATATGCTAACAAAATTATTGCGCGTTCACCTCTTCCCTTTCCCACCACACTTCGTGCGTTTCCACCGCACCGGTTCGTATGGGCATTTTAGAAGATTTATAATTTGCTCCAGTTCAAATCATCAACAGTAAAATTTGATTTAAAATTAAAATCATGATAAGAGTTTATAATGCGAACGTTATCTCATTTGAGGCCTCAATTGTTTTTTGTACAGAAAAGGAAATAAAGTCTGGGGGGGGGGGGTGGAAATGCATTTCCTGCAGTCTATAGGGAATTCTGTGTAACTGTTTATACGTTCGGTTTTTTTTTTTCAGGCAAGGGAGGTGTTGGAATTTTGATGACCAAACAACAACATCAACTAAAAAGACAAAATGTTATATTAAATCAAAATTCTATTTATAAAAAATTATATATAGTTTTATGTTGCAGGTACTTTCGTTTTTCTTATGTAATGTTACGTCATGTTTATTCAGTGAACTGCATAGAGAAAACGAAAGTAGATATTTTATTAATAGGCACAACGGAAATTTTTTTGAAGAAGTTCCTAGAAATCTTCCATCAAATGAAACATACATGCCATGGAAGCAGTTATGAATGGTGCCCACTTACTCCAGGTATGAAAACTGTTATGTTGATGCTTTTACACATGTATACAAACATTTTCAAACAAACCTGTTAACATGAGATTGTACTGATTAACCGAGAAAATACTTCCCGTATTGTTGATTTAGAGTGAGTGACGTGTTCCTCGTTAACTATTAAGTTTATCAGAATTTATTAATTGTAATACTACTAAGTAATCAAAGGACTAAACATTTTAATTAATAATTAGAACATTCACTGCAGTGTCAATAGGAGACAGATCATAAGATCCACCACTGGGTTGAGATGGCGTAAACAGATGTTTCAAATTTATCATGATTACGTGTAGTATACGTGTATCACAAACGTTTGATTAAGTGTCATTTACTGATTTTTATTTTTGAAAATTCATTTAATTTTAGAAATAATTTTAAAATAAATTCGTATCAAAAATAAACCTTAAAATTTTTAAAAAGTTTTTTTCAATATTGTAATTTTAACAATTAAAAATATATGTAATATGATTTACCTATAATGTATGCCAAAATATAGTCAATTTTATAACTATTTTCTTTATAATTCCTTTGTGTTTTTTAAGTAACTAACAACTCTCTTATGTTTGACACTGATTAAAAAAGAACAATTAAGTATCCAAACCTTCGAAAATAAAGTTTAATTAATTTTTTAAGATAGAATTTATGTCTAAATTAAACTTAATATGTTTTCAATTTTTATCTTTGAGCTTGATTATAGGTCTACATATGTTACATGAAATCAAAACGAAACCGAAAGTATAATTATTTTAGATTTCGTATAAAATGTGAATGACATCATTTATATCAGAACTTTTGCTTTCGACTTTGCGCATTAAGACATATACATATTATTCAAATCAGAACTTTTGCTTTCGATTTTGCGTATATTAAGACTTTTACATATCATTCAAAAAGACTGAAGTGTACTTTGTATGAGTCTATTTAGTTCACAAACAGTTCACTGAGTGTCCCGATAATGTTAAAATACCCTTTTTTGTAGGAACTTATATCCCATGACACAGCTTAATTTTTGTTTCTAATTGAAGAATATGGACGGAAGGTATGTACGCATCATAGACAACTTTATATTTTCGTTTTGAAATATATTTGTGTGTATAAACAAGCATATTTGCATGTTAACATTATCATGGAGGTACCTGAAATATAATAGGAATTCTTTTAGACGTCCATATTTTAGTGTCTTCTCTGTGCAAAACCTGTATATAATTGGTTTTAAAATTAAGAAATGTGTATACAGAATTTGTCTACCATATATGGGTTTATTTTTTTATTTTACTTTTATCCAGACGGGTTGGAAGAGGAGGAGCAGGTGGTCATGGCGGACGTCAGGGGCGCGGAGGCTCCTCAGGCAAAATTCAGGGGAAACCAGAAGGTTCTTGGAAGTTAAGATGTGGCTTTCGACGACTGCAGGAACTGAAGATGAAGCCCCCGAACGAAGTTTTAATGACACTTAGTTCATCGGGAACCCGCTTTAAAGAAGCCCTTGAAGACGACAGTCATGATACCAATATGATGGTGCTGATACTCAGGTGCATTGCTATAGCTTTAGAATGTGAATCTCAGCGCCAAGGAACTATAACTCTACTTACAACAATAGAAAATTCCAATTTTTTGAAAAGGAAATTGATGGAATTTTTGTTTGGTTTAGCGGTGAATGAATTTGAATTGATGGAGCACCAGGATGCAATCAAAGATGTGATAACTTTATTTGTTGCCTTAGCTCAAAATATGCCCCACAGTCTTTCAACCATTATGGGAATATATGCTACCATTGAAGCTGTAGTTACTAAGCTGAAAAATGGGGGGTTATTGAACAGCAGTCTAGGAGAAGCTTTTGAGACCTGTAGGGTACACAAAGAGGGGGTTATGAAACCAAAACCCCAAAAGCAAAACAGAGAAAGAAAATTCGAACAAGAAGACGAGAGAGAACCAGATAATAATTTCAGAGAGATCAATGTGTGTCCGCAGACTGTTGATGTGGCAGCAGGTATGGATCATGACCCTTTCCTACGGCGAAATAAAGCTAAAGGTGGGTACAGAGACCTGGAACATTACTTGGATGTACAGTTTCGTCTTCTGAGAGAAGACTTCATTTGTCCCTTGCGTGAAGGTATTCAAGAATATATCGAGGCATTACACAATACTGGACAAGTCAAAAGATTGCAGGATCTAAGGATATACAAAGATGTTCAAATTATTTCACCAATATGTGATCGGTCTGGTTTGTCCTATAGGGTTAGTTTCGACATAGAAAATCTCAAACGTGTAAGATGGGAATCAAGCAAACGTTTGATATTTGGATCTCTTGTATGTTTATCTAGAGATGGGTTTCGAACAATGTTGTTTGCCAGTGTCTCAAACAGAGAATTAAAACTGATATCAAAAGGAATTGTTGACTTGAAATTCGAAAACACCCATGAAGAAATGGCAGCCCTCCCAAGAGATGCGAGATTTGTCATGGCAGAGACAACAGCTTATTTTGAAGCCTACAAACATGTTCTAAATGGCCTTCAAAATATGCGACAAATCCCTTTCGAGAAATACATTGTCAGGTGTGAAACAGATGAAGTGAAGCCACCAGTGTATTTGCGACGGAGACGAAATGCAAATTATGATCTCCGTCCTCTCGTGGATAATGATATCGTTCTGCAAGGAGAAATAAAGTTAAGAAATCTGGGAGCTCCTGTTTTGCGTGAACCCACCTACAATTTCAGTCGCCTATCTGCAAGGGCTGGGAATGTGAAGATTACAGATTTTGATGAATGGCCTTCTGCAGACCAATTATATTTGGACGACTCACAATATAAGGCAGTACAAAATGCTCTTACCAAGGAGTTTGTGATTACTCAAGGACCCCCTGGTACAGGGAAGACGTACATTGGTCTCAAAATTGTCAAAGCTTTGCTACACAATCACAAAATATGGAACACTAACCTGGAAGGTGTTACTGACCACAAACCAATGTTAATTGTCTGCTATACGAATCATGCCTTGGACCAGTTCCTAGAAGGAATATTAGGTTTCTATCATGGCGACGTTTTAAGAGTTGGAGGGCGAAGCTCTAGTGAACTTTTGAAGAAATATAACATCAATACTTACCGCATGAATATGAGAAAAGGTAGGGAAATTCATGGTGACATTTCCAGGGAAGCCCGTAGAATTGGATGGGAGTTGAATCAAATAAGAGAAGCCATCAACGCTATTGCAATGAAAATAGAAATTGCTGAACGAGAAGTTATCCATGAGGGTTATTTGCAACCTTATATGGGTCCATATTACAATGAACTTGTCCAAGGATTTGAGCAGTATGTGCATTATCATGATCCCACCATTTCTCTTAAAAAAATTAAGGGATCATCTGCTATTGTTGAATGGCTTGGATATGGGACCTTGCTACATATAGAACATGGGAATGTGGAAGTTCCACCTGAGCAGAGAAGACAAGAAGTTGATGAAGATGGAGACCTCATTGATGAATTGCAGGAAGAACAAGAGGAACAAGTTGATGTCTTTGATGATGCTGATCAAATGGTGGAGATGAGACAACTAGACAATGAAGATGATCTAGATTTGGATGACTTAGATCTATTTGCAGGTCTTGGTCTACCTGAAGATTTAGAAAGAAAACTAGCAAATCTTCAAATTAAGAAAAAGGCTGTAGCATTGAATGTGTCAGAAATGGATGAACAAGGAGGCGACATGGAATGGCAAATTGATAGGAAACAGAAGAAAAAAATGAAATCAAAATTGCGTAAGGAACTTAAGTCTACAAATCGCATGTCAGAACGAGAGTTTCAAAATTTGCAGAGGATGGGTCATGATGTTTGGAATTTGACTCAAAAAGAAAAATGGCGTTTGTATCGATACTGGACACACAAGTTCTGTTGTGTGTACAGAGAACAGATTCGTGGAAAAGAAGCAGAGTATGAAAGAAATGCAGCTCGATTAAACGAAATCCATATGCAGGAAGACCAGCAGATAATGCGCTTGGCAACAATTATTGGGATGACAACTACAGGAGCTGCAAGATATCAGTCAGTACTTCAGGAAATCGGTCCAAGAGTCATCGTTGTGGAGGAGGCTGCAGAAGTTCTCGAGGCGCATATAATTACAACGTTGAGCCAAGGTTGTGAACACGTGATTCTTATTGGTGACCACAAGCAGCTGAAGCCAAATCCAACAGTTTATAAACTTGCCAAGGACTATAATCTGGATGTGTCTTTATTTGAGAGAATGGTGAAAAATGGAATGCAGTGCGATTGCCTAAATCTCCAACATAGGATGCGACCGACAATTTCGGAAATGATGAGAATCATATATCCGGAATTGAAAGACCATGACGAGGTGAAAAATTATCCAAGCGTTAGAGGTATTTCAGAGAACATGTATTTTATACATCATGACTACCCCGAAAGTAATGACGATGAGCAGAGAAGTCACTCCAACATTTACGAAGCTCAATACATTGTGGCACTTTGTCGATATCTCAAACTTCAAGGATACGACCCGGAACAAATCACGATTTTAACATTGTATTCTGGACAGCTTTTCCAATTGAAGAAACTGATGCCCAAAAAAGAATTTTATGGGATAAGAATAACAGTGGTAGACAATTTCCAAGGAGAGGAAAATGATATTATCCTCTTATCATTGGTTCGCAGTAACGACGAAGGAAAGATAGGATTTTTGAAAATAGAGAATAGAGTATGCGTTGCTCTCTCCCGTGCTAAGATGGGATTTTATGTCATCGGGAATTTAAACCTTATGTCTGGTAACAGTGAACTTTGGAGAAAAGTTGTTGACCATGTTAAACGTAAGAACTTATGCGGAGAAGGATTACGTTTATATTGTCAAAATCACCCGAACGATGAAGGAATCCATGCGACGGAGCCAGAGGACTTTAAAAAGGCACCTGAGGGAGGCTGTATGAAGCCCTGTGAACACCGGCTACCTTGTGGACACACATGTGCCCTCGTTTGTCATGTCATCAATGCCGACCATAAAGAATACCAATGTAGAAAGCCATGTCAAAAGCAAATTTGTGACAATAAAGATCACAGATGCAGGCGAATGTGTTACCAGGATTGTGGAGAATGTTCAATTCGTGTGACTAAATTGCTGTCTTGTGGGCATCAACAACCAGTACCTTGCTCAACTAAACCGTATCAGTTCAAATGCATGGCACAATGTGAAACTCGGCTTCCTTGTGGCCACATGTGCCAGAGTTTGTGCGGAGAACGACACACTGAATTTTGTCAACATCCAGTAAAAAGAAAATTCAAATGTGGCCATGAATTAGATATACTTTGTTTTGAGGTGGAATCAGCTGTTTGTCCTAAAAAGTGTCGACAAATTTTATCATGCGAGCACAAGTGTAGAGGAACTTGTGGCGAGTGCTTAAATGGAAGACTTCATATTGGATGTAAAAGTAAATGTGAAAGAACTCTCGTCTGTGGACATATATGCCCTGACAAATGTTCCAAATGTCCCCCCTGTGAAAAGTTGTGCAATAACCGTTGTGTGCATAGCCGATGTACCCAATCTTGTGGGAAAATGTGTATACCTTGCGTCGAGAAGTGTGCATGGAGATGTGAACATTTCAAATGCACGAAGAGATGTTTTGAGCCCTGTAACCGTCCTCGGTGCGACAGACCTTGCCGTCTACGGATTCCATGTGGGCATCAGTGCATAGGACTTTGTGGGGAGCCTTGTCCAAGAAAATGCCGCATTTGTAATAAAGAGGAAGTAACGGAAATATTTTTTGGTACAGAAGAAGAGGACGATGCAAGGTTTGTAGAGCTGGAAGATTGTGGTCATGTATTTGAGGTAGAAGGGCTAGATCAATACATAAACCATTTTGGGAAAGGAGAAGGAAATAAAGATGCTGTCATAAAACTTATTGAATGTCCTAAATGCAAGACTCTAATCCGCCGAAATATGCGATACGGAAACGAAGTTAAGAAAGCAGTCTTGGATATTGAAGCAGTCAAGGAAAAAATTATTGGAGATAGAATTCGTATACGGCGAATGAAGAATGATATCCCGGAGAACATTAGAGATCTGACAAGAAAATATGCAACTGATGGTAAAGCAATGAGAAGAATTTACGATCAGCTTTTTGAGACAACTGTTGATGAAAATACTTTGTTGGCTGTTACAAATCAGATTGAATTTTTGAAGGCCATCAATAAAATTGAACAAGACTGGGACAAGCACATACACATAAGTGATCTTCAACAGATGTTCAAAGAACATTGTCTTAAAGATCTAGCTTACTTTAGAGAATGGACTCTTAAAACCAGAAAGTATTTCACAGAACAAGAACTAATGGATGCCGAGGATGAAATATTTCGTCTCAAATCTTTTAAACGTTTCATAGCATATATTGATAGAATCATATCTCTTCGAAAACCAGCAGGAGGCGAACTTAAGAAAAGTCTTAGTACAGTAGAAACTCTTTTGAAAGGAGGTAAAAAGTTAAACGCAGATGAAAAAAGGTTATTAGAAAATGTGCTTGCACAACTGAAAGAGAAATATCCTCTAAGTGGACTCGGGGTATCAGAAGAAGAGAAAATCCAGATTGTCAAAGCTTTGGGGGAGCAGAAGGGCCACTGGTTTAAATGTCCGAATGGTAAGTGAACCATACTCGATTGTTTAAGTATTTATCGATTTCATATTTTAATAAGAGTAAAGAAATTCTAGAGGAATTAATGAAAATATTCTTTCATAGGTCATCCATATGTAATTGGGGACTGTGGTGGAGCCACGATTGAGAGTAGATGTCCGGAGTGTAATGCTACTATTGGTGGAAGTGGTCACCGACTCCGTAGTGATAATCAATTTGCAGGAGAGATGGATGGCGCTCAGCATCCAGCATGGTCTGATGCAGCAAACATGGCGAATTACATGTTCTGATCAATATTTGCTGTATACTTTCGTGATAGGTTATACAATAATGATAGGTTTTCCCCTGAAATTATGAAGTGTAATAGTCTTTATATTCTTTCCATAAAACTTTTCTGAGCATTTATTTATGAAAAGTGGTTTTTGCTACATTTAAAATGTGATATTCATGTGATAATTCTTTATCTTTAGTTTCTTTTTAGTATTTTGTCATTTGTTACATAGATACCATATACTATATTGTATTTGAAATAGTTAAATTTGCATAAGATTAGCACATTATATATATATATATATATATATATATATATATATATATATATATATATATATATATATATATATATATATATATATATATAGAGTGAAAAGTAAATTTCTACATAATTATATGTTTGAACCAGATATGTTAATTTCATAGTTGTATCGATAGATGCAAAATTTCAAGTTTCTTATATAAGGCGTTTTATCTACACTTATATAGGTTATAAGAAAAAAATGTTTTGCTACACATATTTTAATTTCTTCAAGACATAATTAAGTTATTCTTTTTCTTTGACAGTTTGAAACATTCAAATGTTAGCATGTTATTATCTTATTTTAGTTGTTTTTGTGTCTAATATAGATTAATTTTGTAAAAGAACTATAATATTTATTGATGAAAATAATAACTGTACGTATCTTGAACACCTTTATAACGAAGATATGCAAATTACCAAACTTTCTGATATATGTGGTGTGATTTTTAACATCGTTGGTATATGTCTACGTCAAATATATCTTGAATTGATTTAACTATGTTTCATTTGAAAAAAAAATTAAGGTCATCAGTACCCAACTTGGAAGGTCAACCCATCAACAAATGTAATATAGGTTGTCAACGGACTTCATATTCACATCTACAGATGGCGTGATTAAAGTTGTTCTATAAGGTTTACAGGTTAAGGATCACTTAGTCAGAAGTTGAGATTAAAAATATTGATACATGTATAAGCAAATTGTGGATGACAGATTAAAAATAATATATGCGTAGTTCATAAATCAAATAAAAATGTAGAATTATATAAAAAAAAGTTGTTTTTTTTCAAAATAGTTATCAAGATTTTTTATAACCCCCCCCCCCCCCCATTTTTTGGTTTCATTTATTTTTTTCTTTTTTATTCCTTTTTTTTTTTTGCAATTGTTTTTCGTTTGATTGATTGATTGGTTGTTTGAGGGGGGTATAAGTAAAGGGTGGGGGTCTTTTGGGGGAACTTTAAATTTATTGCTTTTCAAGGAAGATGTGGAAATGTTCATTCGGCATACATGTAGGTTAATATCAGTGTCTCTTTTTCTGGGTCACAAAACTGATTTATATTGATTTAAGTGTATATTCAAGTGCCATTATCTACAGGGAAATAAATCTTATCTATACTAGTGTAATATTTTGCAATACACTGCGTTTGTTTGCTTTGAGATATATTGAAGTCTGGATATGCAATCGAAGGTTGGAGATAGAAAAAAAGTCATGAATCGGCTTGAAATTCTGAATAAACTGCGTCGTTTTCTTTTAGCTTCATATTTAGTGTGACGCAGTTATTTTTGTAAATTACAAACTCTTGTTTTTTGTCTTAAATAATTAATTTTTAAAGTAAAATGTTGTCATCGGTAGCGATGAAAATTGCATAAAAAGTTACATGTAGTACAATATATTCTTGTCATATTTGATAGGGTGAAACATGTCTAATCTGACATGCAATGGGAGACAAAAATTGAGTCGGAATAGTGAGAGTGTCGGATTACACAGTATGAAGAATTTATATATATTTTTTTATTTGTCTATTTATTTATTTTTTGTCTATTTTTTTTTAATTTAAGTAAGACACAACTACTAATTCAAGCATAAATTCAACATTTTTATAATTTAATGAGTTGGATCAATTATAAAAATAAATTCGGAAAAGTTTATTTTTGTATATTATTTCAATAGATAGAATTTTTGAAGACAAACACAGGCTACTCAAATACACGTAAAAGACAATTTTCTTTTTGATTAGAAATATAATGTTGGGTATTGTTTCAAAAAAGCAATGTTTTCAAGAGAATATGGTTACAGTAGAACACACTAGTTTTCAAGGGATTAGGTTGGGGTCACAATTTGGGAACAAAGTTTAATAAGCAAAAAAAAAAAAAAAAAAAAAAAAAAAAAATTTGCAATAATAAGAAGGTACACTTTGTAAAGTTGACATCAACTCAAAATATTGTAAATAGAAATTTAATTTGGATAAGACAAAAAGAAATTTCATTTGTCAACATGTACATAATCATTTTCCAGGATCCAGGATTTATTTGATCGGTGTTGTTCACAGGTCACTTGTTAGGGATATACAAAAAGTTAACATTTAAAAAAAAAACAGCAACATATTTGCCCCTTTTCAAAATAACTATTCAAGAAAAGTTTAATATTTATATAAAGATAATTAATATTTGATATCACAATTCATAGATTTAATCATTTGTCTTAATCCCGCACTACAGTGCTTAACACCAAAAGTATTTCTGGTTGTTGCAGATAAACCACTTAAAGACTTGATTGGTTCATAGGATTGAAGAGGTCTATCAGAAAATTAAACAACTCATATCAAAGATTTTGAATTGATAAATGATGTAAGGTCATCTACCTTATAGATATATAAGTAAAATTACGCATAAATACAAGTATTTCAGAAAAACTGTGATCTCGTTTAAGGCCTGAACCATGTACAAAAGGTAAGTTTTTTCCTTGAAGTAATAAAAGTTTTTTAATGCTTTATTTCTTTGTACTTAATACAGTTAATACATAAATAAATTTTACAAAAAAAATTTTAACACGTACACTTACTTCCACTCTTCACTCATACTTACATAAACAATATTTAATATTTTAGCCGTATTTACAAACTATGTATAAAAACGCAAATTGTATGTAGCCTTTGTCTCTTAATATCTTTTTTCTTAGCAATTAAGTTTCCAACATAAGTTTCCATTGTTCCATACAGACTCAAATTTATCAGCAGTTGCATTTTTAACAGATTTGTATTTTTCCACATTATAGTACACTTTTAAATAGGCTACCAGTCCATTTAAATTTGGCACACACATTTTAATATTTTTCATACAATGAAATATAGTTTAACAAAATAAATTAATAACATAGTTTGAATTTGAAAGAGGCAACTCTCCAAAAATTACATTTTGAACATTAAAACCTACCCGTTTTGATGTATAATTATGAATATATAGACTAAGGTCATTCCATATATGTAATACAGCTTTACACATAAAAAATACACGCAGAATGGTTTCGCATTCATTGCTACAGAAAGTACAATTATCATTTTCTTTTATTTCAATTTTTTAAGGTAATGATTTACAGGTAATATTCTATGTAAAATTCTAAATTGTAACCATTGGACAGTAGAGTTTGAAGATACCTTAAAACTTAAAGCAACAAAAGTTTTTTTTTTTTTTTTTATTATTTTCTTTTTAATATTGGTTTTTACTATTTTTGAATTTTAGAAGCATTATTTTGGCCGCGGTGCTTTGCTTCCTTGGTGCAGTATCTGCAGTCGACAGATGTTTACCAGGAGAACCCTGTTTCCCGGACAACCCAGTGGTACTTAATTTTGGGGAGACATTGGAAGGGAAATTATTGCTTCCATATATGCCAGAATATATCGAGAATGTGATTACACGAGACATGGTCTGGACGAAATTTCCCATTGGAATAGTGGTGGCCAAATCAACCCAAGATGTCCAAAAAGCTGTCTTGTTCGCCCGGAAGTACAACTTGCTGGTTTCTATTCGTTCCTCTGGTCACGACTTCCTTGGAAGATCTACAGCGCATGGAAGTCTTCAAATTCTTCTGGGAAACATGACTAAAACTTCAATTAATTTGACGTCATCAAGAAATCCTGCAGGAGAAATAACTTGCGAAAGCGGAAACACATGGCTTAAGGTTTACGAGGAAGTAAGAACGTAAATATGTATTACACGAATTAATCTGTAACCCCGTGATAAAATTTTAAGCATAAAAATGTTTACAAATATAATTTCAAAGAAAATTAGCTGAAAAAGAATCTGTTTTAATGTAAAGTTATAATCGTTCTGTCAGTTACACTGTACATGATTATTCTTCTTTGTTGCTGTTTTGTTTATTCAGGTCGACAAGGTTAATCGTGTCATAGTCGGTGGAAGTGCTCATACTGTGTGTATGGGTGGCTATACACTTGGAGGTGGACACAGCCCAATGTCGAGGACATTTGGGTTGGCTGTTGATAACTTGTTAGAGGTAGAAATGGTGGATGCCGAGGGTCGTATCATTGTGGCCAACGACCAAATGACGCAAATAAAACATTTAAACGACTCCGTCACAAAAACCGATAACAGCGACATCTTCTGGGCATTACGGGGAGGAGGTGGTGGAACCTTCGGTATAGTTACCAAGTTCACTTTTAAACTGCATTACCCAGCATCTGGAGTAGCGACATTTGGGTGTTCTTATCCCATCGTGCGAAATGACAAAACAGAAATTGGACACATTGTTCTAAAGAAGATAGTGTCAATGTTGAAGAACTTGCCAACAGAATGGGGCGGATATCTGATAGCCGTTGGTACACTGAACTCAGACTTCTCTTGGGGTACCATCTCCCTCGCCATGAATCACTATGGGTCTTACGATGCACCGACGAGATCCTATATGGATGAATTGAAAAATTTTCACCCTGAATGGCAAAGGGGATGTGGATATGGTCGCATGAATACGTTTTTGGAGTACGAATCTACTCCAAAGGACCCTCCGTATGTGAGCACCTACCTTCTGAATTCTCTTATGCAAATGGATAGTTTCACGGATGATTGGATTCGGTATATTCTTACAGCTTTAGGGACCAAACTACCTCAACCCGGAATTTTGTCATTTACAGGAATTCTACTAGGAGGTATCAAGAACGTTCTACACAAACATTAAATATTTTTTCTTAATTTATATCTTATTATATCAAGTCTTTAATCAATCTGTTTGAATTCTCATGGGTACTAATTGCGTTATTAGCAGACATATTTTTGTATTCATTTGAAGCAGAATTTATTTAAAAAAACTTCTGCATGAAAAGAGGAAGTCTCTTGCTGTGGACTTTAATTTGACATTTAGACATCAATTAACAGTATTCATTTTCATTCCTACATTAATTCGATATATCCCTTTGAGCTCGAAATGAAGGACACCACAGAGTGTGACACATCTGTTTCATATTTAGATATTTTACAAGAAAAAGACATTAATGGCAAAATAACAAAACTATATGATGAACGTGATGACTTCAACTTTTCTATCGTTAACTTCCTTTTATTTTTAGCAATATACCATTATTACCTGCATATGGAGTTTATGTCAACATTTCGCAAATTCTATGGTCGATACAATGATCTTGTTAGCAAATACAATCTATCGTTAAGTCGAATATTACCTGACGTTTTTCATATAAATTGTTAGGCCATTATTTTTGCACGGAATCTACTGATTATTCCGTTTGCTTGATCACGAAGGAGCAAACGGTGTATGTGACAGGTCGACAGGGGATGCTTACTTCTCCATGGTACCTGATCCCACTTCTGATCTTTTAAGATGTCCGTGTTTTCTTTGCTCCCAATTTGTATTGATTCAATGGACTTCTGAGCTTGATTACTGTTTGTTATTTTCATATTTCTTCTTAAGTGGGAAATGTTTAAATCCGTACCAAATTCGTTGCTTTATTAATTTTTTTTTTACTTACAGGAAAGACATCGGCAGTAGGAATTCACAACACATCCGTGCACCCTGGATTTAGGTCAGCTGTAATGTCGTTATCCATGGGTATCACTCCAACAACCGGAAATACTACAGGTCTAAGAGAGAAGGCTGCAGAAATGGCCCCTCATCTGGCAACCTACGGAAATGGCCAGTACCCCAACGAAGCAAACGCTGATTTAAATAACTGGCAAGATAAATTCTGGGGCAGCAATTACAATCGACTGCTCAGCATCAAGCACCAGTGGGACCCAGACAATTTTTTCACATGTCGAGAGTGCGTTGGATCAGAAGAGATGTCTGTTCATACTCATGGACCAGGCAGCCAGAGTGGAGCTCACTCAGTATTTGGAAAGTGAAACTCAAAGTCATTTACCCTTGATATGTGCACATGTAAAGCTCTCTTCTTGCAATGGATAATAAATATTTTAAAAACTTTTTTAACAAATGTTTCTTTTTTATTCTTGTATAAAAACACTTTTTTAAAAAATAAAAATAGGAATAAAAAATAGTTATTAAAATTCACAGTGTATTTATTCCTTTGTCCTAGGATGTGGATTCAACTGAGCTATAATAATTCAAACAGGTTTCAGATAGAAATTAAAGAGTCTCATATAGATCCATCTGATTTTTTTTTTTATAAAAAGCATTGTGTTGATTTTAACTAACAAATGTCAAAACATCCCTCAATCAAGGGATTTAAATTTAAAGGTCTTAGAAGCAGTTGAATAAGGAGATGGATTTTTAAAATCTTCTTGAACATCATTAGGCCAAACTTCTCTCTACAGACGAGTAAATTCGATTTTTGTTCAAATTACATAGGACAATATGATGGACAACAGGAAATAGGACAAAAATGATTAAATTTGGGTCAGGTACACGTACACTTGCCGTGACCTGAATACTGATTCAATGTCCTCGAAGGGCAGCCATACTTGAAAGGCCAAAAGGTAAGAATGGGAGCTATAAATCACTGAATTTTTTTTTCAAGGCACTTTTTGAGAAATGGTTTCTTGATATTTTAAAACGTACATATTTAAAAATACAAAGGTGTTTTAAAGCAAGTAAAATATTGCATTCTTTTCTTGATACATGTAAGCAGAAGACATCCTGGTGAAAAAAGACGCAGTATTGTATGAAATCTCTTTCTTGTCAAAATTAATTAAATGTACCAGCATGTAACGGGGAGGGTATGAAATAAAATGGTTTCTCCTAATGTATAGTATATGTGCTTAGTAATCTTTTAATCTTATGTGTGAAAGATAATCATGATCGAAAATTAAATTAACAAATTTTTAGGTATGGATTTTTCCGGAAAAGTTGCCTTGGTAACAGGATCTACTAGCGGTATAGGGCTGGGTATTGCTCGCACTCTCGCCAAGAAGGGGTGTACCGTTATTTTAACAGGATTGGCCGATCAAACAACCATTGACGACCTTGTAAATGAGTTCAAAATGTATGTTGATTATTATTCGTGACATCATTTAATCATTGATTTATCATATTTCACATAGACGCTGGGTCAGAATATAGTTTATTATTATAATTTATTGGGTAATTAGTAACACAAATTTTCAAAAAATTCATGAAAATTATCTTTCTTGTATTGTAATAGCATTATACTTGAAAATTACTGTCCACAGATTGTGCAATGAGAGAGCCTCGTTCCTACCATGTGATATGCGATCACGTGATTCAGTTCACCAAATGTATCAAGAAATCTCCAAATTATACCCTGATGGAGTTGATATTCTCGTTAATAATGCAGGTATGCATGAGCAATTTATAGACTTTTTTTAAAGATCTACAATACATTTTTTTTAGATTAAATACACAGTCTGAGGGATTTTTGAATTTTTATCTCAACTTCATTTAGGCCATGTTTAAAAAATTGTTAGTTTGCCCTCTCCCGACCGACTGACTAAAAATGGCCTGACTCAAAATAACTCCAGAAAACAATTATTTTTTTTATTCATTCTTGAGTTTTCTCATCTCATATTAACCTATTTTAACTTCATAATTCGCAAGTGTTTTTGAGTGAGAAAAAAAACCCCTACCTACCTACCCAATATTTTTTTCCTCAGTCTGGAGAGGGGAAGCAAACATTTTTTGAAAGATGGCCTTTCATCAACTTTTTCGTCAATGAGTTAAGTCACCGTTTTTTAGGAATCAACCACGTCAGGCCGATTGAGGAGTTTCCGGATGAAAAATGGGATGAGATGATCAGTATTATGTTGTCTAGTCCTTTTGATCTCATTAAATACTTCATATCAGGCATGAAAAGAAAACGTAAGTAAAGCAAGAGTATCGAATCTGGATTAGCATTTACAACTTAAATGATTCTTGGGTAAAACTCGATTTAGACTGAAGTGTGCCATTGTGCAAAGAAAAATCTAAAAGATTTTTAGCTAGATTCGTAGGGAGATGTGGATGCTGGTTCAGTTCCCTTTTGTAATTGAATCAAGATCAAGTGCAAAGAAAGATAGCAGACACGTTTGATTTCATTAATTATTTGCTTATTTATACGCCCGTTTTTCTTTTCTTTTCTTTTTTTTTTTTTTTTTTGAGGTTTATTGCTCGCTAGTTTTCTGCAATTAATCACGTTTTCATTGTATGCTTTTTATTTTATCAAAATGTCCAGGATACACAATAATTGAGGTATTATCTAAATCTGATGTAATTTGTTATAATCTTTCAGGATGGGGGCGGATTATCAATATATCATCCATGATGGGATTAATCAGTCAACCAGGGAAAGCCGTGTATAGCGCTGCAAAATCAGGACTAATTGGATTGTCTAGGGTTTTATACTATTTATATATGGATTTCTATTGATTTAACAATTGCGTTTCTTAAACTGTTCAATGTACATTTAATTATGGTCAATATTTAGGGGAAATCATGTTACATGTACATGTATGTTGCTGCAAATCAAATTATACTCAGTCTTAAACTTGACAACAGATATATAAATATTATTTATATCTCTAAACTTTAAGTTTAGTTTTAAGTAGAACATGTATGAAAATGATATTTTTTTTTACTGTTTTCTGAATTGCATGTACTAGAATTACAAGAAATATCATGCGGAGTTGTCGAACATTTTTTAACACTTGCTCTTCAACAGCCCTAAGAAAAAAGATTAAATTTTTTATGCTGAATGTCTGTGGATAAAGAAGGAAGATAATTTTCATGTTGCAGGGTGTAGCTTTAGAGGGAGCGCCATTTGGTGTCACTTGTAACGCCATATGTCCTGGATACGTGTACACAGCAGGTTTAAATCTTTCTTTTTTTTAAATTTTCTTCGAGGGTTTTTATTTGTGTGTGTATGTTCATTTGTTTGTGTTTTTTATTCTTTTGCTTGTTTTTGAAAAATAAAAAAATAAAGGAATTTGATTTAATTTTCATTTAATTTTTTGATTTATATTAGTATTACTCTAACTGTTTTTTCAGTGACTGATCCGCAGGTGCGTGCTTTTCAGGAAAAGGAGGGTATATCAACGTTTGAGGAAGCTAAGGTACTAAGATTTAAAATAAGGGGGGAAAAGCTCTAAATATTACTGATCCCGATGTAATTTTCTAATCATAAATCAAACTTATAATTGAGCATGACGAGCTTTTTTTTTTTCAGGACAAATTTTTTTCTCGAGCTCCAACAGGAAAGGCAGTAGAAGTTGAACAGGTATGAAAACACGTGTAGCAATAAAGTAAATGTAATTATTACAGAATGTTACATTTACAAGATGAATTTATTTGTAACGAATATTATTTGACACTAAAAAAAAATAATAATATGCGACAAGTAGCTGTTTTTTTTCCAAAATATGTCTTTTTCTTTAAATAACAATAGCTACAAGGTTGGAAGACGATCAATATAATTTTGGAACAAAACTTATCCAGCATTGTTTGTGTTCCATGGACTGATTTTTATTTGTAATAATGTGAAAATGTTGTAATCATTTCGAATAATATTTTATTCACTAGGCTGGTTTATAAAAGCATATTATATTTTTTATAGATTGTTGGGGTTTTTGTGTGTGTGTGTTTTATTTATTTATTTTTTTTTTACTTATTTATAGATATGTGACTTAGTGGCTTTTCTGTGTACCTCTGGAGCAAACAGTATGACAGGGTCGCCAATAGTGATAGATGGCGGATTCACTCTTCAGTAGCGGAAAAAGACTATTGCTCAATTCTTAAAATATCATTGAGGTTTACAAAGGTCACAGTAGAACTTCAATGTACATTTCAATGTATTTTATAACTAGTCGATCTTTAATGTGTATTTTATTTTTATATCCTATAATATTAGTTAGCGTGCATTTTTTAATGTAGTCATTTTATAAAATGCTTATTCAGAAATGTTATATAAAATAATACACAGAGAATTTATACACAGGAATGCCATATTGTTATAATTACATGTAGACTGGCGAGGCATGAATTATTGTCTAATTGTAATACCTACAATATTTTATTCAAGTATATAGGGCTATGTGATTATAATTTTTACAAAACAAACATTAAAAATATTTTTCGTTTTAAAACCTGATTTTTATGTTTCTTTTTTAGTATGTTTGTTATCATTGTGTTTACATGTAACACGTTGCGTTATTATACAAATGATAAAGCTTGTATTTTATATTCTGACAAAATCTTGTTATTCATATTCAGAAACTTGTTATATTCATAAAGTTGTGATTCATATTCTAAATCTTGTAATTTTTATTCAATAATTGTTATTAATAGTCGTAAGTGTGATTTATATGAGAAATCTCGTGATTTACATTCGAAAAGTTGATATTCATATTTGTAAACTTGTTATTCATTTGCAAACACTTGTTATTCATATTCGATAACCGTGTGATTTTTGCACCATAATCTTAAGCTTGTGATTTATTTGTGAAAACTGAAGTTGATAATCGTATGTGAAAACCTGTTATTTATACATGCAAAAACTTCTGACTAATATTTGTTTGCGATAATCTTGGGATTTATTTGCTCTATCCTGTGATTTATAGGCGAAAAGTTGATATTCATAGTCAAAAACTTTCTTTTAAAGTAGGCAAAACCTTGTGATTCATATATGATAACTGTTAATTAATATGCGATAAATCTTGTGATCTATATGCAATAGTCTTATGATTTATTTTGTTATTGATATTTAGGAAGTGTATTTATGATAATCAAATTTGAATAATAAGTTTTCGAGTATGAATAGAAAATTTTTGAATATAGATAATAACAATTTTCGAATATATATCACAAGATAATTGCATATAAATCACAAGATATCGAATGTAATTAAAAATCATAAGATACAGTAGTCGAACACGAATCACAAGATTAAGACTACAAATAATAAGTTTTCGAAAATGACTAATAATGTTTTGCGTACAAATCACAACGTTATTGCACATAAATCACAAGATTATCGAGTATGAAAAACTACGAATATTGAATGTAAAATTAAGTTTTTTAAAATATAATATAAGATTTGTAGTACGATGCAATGTTTTAAATGCCATTTGTAATGATGAATTATAGTAATTAAGCATCCCACTGCGGGACATGAAGACCGATCCTTCGGATGAGACCGTAGTCCCGTGTCGCAATAGGTGCTGGCACAAAAAAGATCTCTCACTGCTCAAAGGCTGTAAGTGCCTAGTACAGGTTTAAATTTGCAGCCCCCATGTCTGCAAGAGGTGGCGTCTCAATATGAGTGAAAAATCCTCGAAAGGACGTTAAACAAACAAAAATTAATATAGCAATGCTTTTAGTTTTACTTCGTTAATTTCGTTTAAAGTCGGCATTTCATAAATTCTATGGTCGTTATAATCACCTTCTTAGCAAATACAATCTATCATTGGGGTATTTTGACTGACATGTTTCATACTGGTCAATTGTTAGACATTTGTTTTAATACTAATTTTGACTACGGATTAGTTTTTCTACTGATCAATATATTGGGCTCAAAACGGATGTGACCGGTAGACAGGGGATCTTTACTCATCTTAAAAACCTGAATACCTTTCAAATTTCTAGGGGTCCGTGTTTTATGCCCTGTCCACAGATTCATGTTGTTCATGGACTTTTTGTTCGTTGTCTTCACTTATTTCATTTAAGGGAATGCTATCATAATCAGAACTATCTAGTCAAAATGTATGAAATGTCAATTTACGGAGTAATTGTTCATCATGACTTACAAAAATAAACATAAGAATGGTACTATAATAATAATGAATAGTACTGTCTAACACTGTTGATTTTACACTGTCTGGAGAGTGTTCTGGATGCCATCATATTCCTACATGTACTAAGAGTTATCTCTCTTTCCCCATATCGCGGTGACCTATGATAATGCACTTTCTAAATGAAAACAAAAAAACAAAAATAGCTTTTACCTTTGTACCAAAACTGAGTTCACCCGATCATGACAAGGAGCACACGGAGGGTGTGACCGGTCGACAGGGGATGCTTACTCCTCCATGGCACCTGAGCCTACCTCTAGATCTGATGTTTTTAGGGGTCCGTGTTTGCGCTGTTGCCAATTTGTATTGTTCCAATGGACTTCTGCGCTTGATTACTGTTATTTTTATATTTCATTTCTTAAGTTTGTTCATTTCAAAATGATGTCTTGAAAAGTAACTTAACATTTCTGAATCCTACATGCTTGATTGTTTAAATGACCGTGTTTAAAGGGGCAAGACACACTCGGATATACATAATATAATTTAATTTTGTTTGTATTCTAGCCTCTGATTGGTTAATATCCAAAAAGGAACACAAATTATTTCTGTATAACCTGGTTTGGTATGGGGACACACACCCCTGACAACCAGCTGAATCGTCTGTATCCATGCAATCCTCTCATTTCCAGTCCTCGGGATTCATGGAAAATTCCAGATTTAATAAATGTACCTTTAACTTCAAACAGTAACTCGGATCTTACCACATGTAAACAAAAACATGGCTGCTAGGACTATGTATCAGTTTTTACCTCCCCTCGCTTCCCATCACTTCCGTTACTAGGGTTGTATTATTGAGCGGCAAATTTGAACTAATAAAAAGCAACGAAATTTTACACCCACAGTTGTTTAATGATTTTAGAATTAAATTATAAGGAATGACTCTAATTCTTGGCCAAATTATTCGAGGATAACCTGGTTTGGGTCAGTTTACGCTGTTTTATAATCCGCTTCGCGGATTATAAAGCGTAACTGACCCAAACCAGGTTATCGTCGAATAATTTGGCCAAGAATTAGAGTCATTCCTAAAATATTTAACCAATTTATCAATAACATTGAATTTTTTCCTCGTTTTCAAATTAAGTCTTCACAAAAATTCAGACTATTATATAAATAGTGCACGTTTTTGAGGGTAACAGTTGAAATTGACACCCCAAGGAAAACCATTGTCAACCGACGCGTCAGCGGAGGTTGACAAAAGTTTTCTGAGGGGTGTCAATTTCAACTGTTACCCTCAAAAACGTGCACTATTTATTTTATTATACTGAATGTCTTATTGATTTCGGATGTCATAAAAAAAAATTCGGAGATCGTCGTCAAGTTCACGCTTAGAAAGCTTTCAAACTCCCCGCTTCTATTTTTCTCAATAAGAAAGCTTCGGAAAAGATTTACCAACCTCTTTATTGTTTGTTTGCTACTCAAAAAGTCCTTTATCATCTAAAGTTTGCACTCGCAAGGATGTTTCGTTTTCAAGTAAGCTACATCGGACGCAAGCTTTAATTGACGTCGTTTAAACGCACAACCGACGTTTTGAGAATTCTACGGTGAACCGTACGCGCATGATTTGAACGCATGTGATATTTTCGTAATGTTACCCGTTGTCAAGTATGTTGCTAACGCTGAGGGTAACATTACGGATTGTTAAATGCTTCTAAACCAATCAGATTTTAGTATTTAACATGAAAAATAACAATTAAATGTCAAGTATACAAGTTTAAAATTGTGGAGGGAAAATGGAGATAAAAACGCTGAATACATGTTGAAATAATCTAATGGAAATATGATTGAACTCTAATAGACTTTGCGATTCTTATATATCCCTTCATGCTTCATTTGCAAGAATGGGAAGGGGGGGGGGGTCAGTTTGAACAAATCGTAATTCGGTATTTGAAGACACTAAAATATAGGATTGCACAGATGTATATTTTATCTTCCTAAAAACCTGATTCTGATTTCGCAAAAGAGAGATTCTGATTTCGCAAAAGAGAGATAACTGTAGAAATGATTTTTATTTTTTAAGTTTCTTCAAATTAAAACTTATTATGAAAAAGATCGAGAGGATTTATGTCTTGTAAAATTCAAAGCGAAACTATGGATGCTTCATTTTTAATTCCATTAAAATGTCTAGCTAGCCTTTTATCTGTAAAACTCGCAAGTACTTAAGAAATATTAGACATTGTAGAAATTTACAGACATATTTATGAAAACATAATTACATTGAAATAATAAATGAACATATATTCATTTTCCCTAAATTTTCTCCTGGGAAACAAGTTGCATGTAAACGAAATAAGGCGGTTTTTTTTTAAAGCTGGGACAAATATGAAAATCTGTCTATGTCTATTTTTTGCGTTGCTCATACAAAAGATGGAACTGTTGCTTCTCGTAATATTTACAAATATTTTTTCCCAAAAGCCGACATTGAGATTGGTGAATCTCAGTGAAGAGTCAATTATTTACATCCGAAATGCAACAATTGATGGTTTGTTCCCCAGCTTAAAAAAAGAACTTCGACCAATATATAATTTCTTGCTTTCTTTTACGGAAAAGAAAGACCAAAATTAACATTATTACTCCAAAATTTTATCAATTACAAAAACTGTCTGTGTTTCAGATCCATATTTTCACTGTCAGGAGTTCAACACTCTTTTTAAGATTCAAGTTTATAGATGAAATGACTTCTATTCATTGTAATTATTATAATTAGATGAATTCGCATCTATTTCATTGCTTTAGAACTAAATTGATTCAGGTGTTGTTATTGGAAACGGTCTTTTCTTCAATTTTATCGATCCAGATTACAAATTAAATATACCAATAATTCCACAACAACTTCAGTGTAAAAAAAACAAAACATGTTCCGTTGTGATTTCAAAGTTGTTTTTTTTTTAAGTTTTACACATTCATGGTCAGGAATGCAACAAAAATATTAGAATTACGTATGTTCAAATGTACATGAGTGAAATATATAAAAGCAATGTGAAATCAATTCTATTGTATGGAGGTGAATGTTGGAGGGTGACAGACATGAGATCACTGTCCAGTTTCCACCACAACTGTCTCCGTTAAATCTGTAAAATCTTTTGGCCAAATACTATATCGAATGCCAACCTACTAAAAATGACAATCTCAAAGTGTATCATAGATGAGTTAAAGCAAAGAAGATTTAAATTGCTAGGACATGTCCTTAGAATGGAGGGATCGAGAATTCCAAAAGTCGCCCTAAGTTGGACACCACCAGGAGAAAGACCAAGGGGAAGACCAAAAACCACCTGGCGCAAGACAGTCGAGAGCGAA